CAAATGGACTCCCACCTAGGAAAGGCCATTTGTAATTAAGAAAATATTTTCAAGCGGTGCCATGATACTAACCACCATGGACGGTGAAGATTTCTCGCACCCTATGAATGCGGACATAGTCAAAAGATACTAAGCATAAAAATAACCTGCTAGGTCGACTGGCCTAGGCAAAAATTAGGGCATCCCGACGAACCAAAAGGGTTTTGGCAAAAATTAGAGATATATAAAAGATTCTACACCCGACAAGTCGAAAACCTGAAAAGGCGTCTTGGGCAAAAAAGGGTATCCCGGTGGACTGAAAACCCAAAAGGGTGGTCTAAGAAAAATTTAGGGATTAAAAGCGTATTAATATGTCCCCTTGGATCACTTACACCAAGCTTTATTACCAAAGTCAAAGTTCAAACGGTACAGATCAATTCAATCACTTTCTTCTGACAGCAAGGGATGAGATGCATGAAAACATAGGGGCAATAGTAGAGTTGGAACCCGACGAGATTATTCCCACATAGCTATTATCTTATTTACACTTTGTACTCTTTTCATTTCACAACAATTTCCTCGTACTAGGATTTATGTCTCTTTGTACAAAATCTCCTATTTATGGGAAAAATTTCAATAAAAATACAAATTTCAAAATCTAAACTTTTTGTTTTTTCTTTTTCTTTTTCTATTTTGTTTGCAAAAATGTCCGATGACTAAAATTGAAAGAACATATGCATATGAGTACGATTAACTATTAACAAATATATGCATAAAAATAGGAATAACAATTTACTCAAGACTCTAGGAGTTGGGATAACGTTCAAGATGTCCACAAATCCCCACAGAGCTACCTTTAGAAGCTCATCTTCAACAAAGATATATCCCACGCAAAATGGGACAAACTAATCATACTCACCAGCAGATTACCCTAGCGGATAAAGGAATATGATTTTTTCCTAGCAATATTTCCAACCTACGGAGTCTTAATCTCCATCGGAGATTACAACATCAGGAAAATTTATAGAAATTCTCTTCCCCAACTGAGCTTATTCCTCCAAAATTGTAAAATCCCCTACAGATTTCTTTCCTCCAGCAGCGCTCATTTCCTCAGAAAAGTGTTTCTCCAACAGGTTTAGTGTTTAATTCCCCAACAGGGTTTATTTCCCCAACAAATTACAGTCTCTTCATTTTGAGTCTATTTCTCTAACTACCACAAATTATTGGCAAAGGTCAGTCTGGGTTGCTATTCCCTGAGAGTTGCTACTGAATCTGAAACTATACTAGATATCGTTCAACCTTATTCCTTCCAGACGAGTCGGTTTCCATATAAAAAACTCAGTAAGGCAACACCTCAAAAGGTTATCCATCTCTTTTATTCCCAGTCAGGGTATATAAGAATTTAATTCCCCAGTAGAGCGACGAACGGCCAATGTTCATGAGCTCTTCTCCCCAAGAAGAAATCAACATTCCCCAACAGAGTTTCCTCAAATAGCAAACAGGGATCCCCAGCAGATCGAAGATTCATATTCTTCATCCCCAACAACAGTCATGGATTTATTTTCCCAGACAAAGATGCTGCACGAGTTTACAAAAACACTTCAACAACACTTCACACTCATACATCATTTACAAACAACATAGCATATGCATACAAAATGCATATAGCACAGTCTCATTTGTTTTGAGAACATCATTACGTAATGCATTTCATACATCATGACATCGCATACAATTAACTCTTTACCTTTTCAGGAAAGATCAATCAACAGAAAAACATTACCAACTACTTATATGACCAGACAGTCTTCTCAAAGGCTACATATGACAAGTGGCTACTTAAGCAATTTCCTCAGAAGGTCATTCTCAAAGAGACATCTTCCTCCCGTTGAGGTCGGGCGCAGACATTTTCTAGCTCAGATTAAATCAAGCATAGATTTATTCTGATACTTCTTCCGTTAAAGTCAGGCGTAGACATTTTCTGGCTCATATTAAATCGAGTGTAGATTTATTTTGATACTTATTCCAGTTAAAGTCGAACATACACAACTTCTGGCTCAGATTAAATCGAGCATACATTTTTCTGATACTTCTTCTAGTTGAAGACGGCCATAGACATTTTCTAGCTCAGATTAAATCGAGCATAGATTTATTCGGATACTTCTTCCAGTTAAAGTCGAGCATAGACATCTTCTGGCTCACATTAAATCGAGCATAGGTTTATTCTGATACTTCTTACAGTTGAAGACAGTCGTAAACATCTTCTGGCTCAGATTAAATCAAGTGTAGATTTATTCAAATTCTTCTTCCAGTTGAAGATGGTCGTAGATATTTTCTGGCTCAAATTAAGTCAAGCATAGATTTATTATGATACTTCTTCCAGTTAAAGTTGAACATATACATCTTCTGGCTCAGATTAAATCGAGCGTAGATTCATTCTGATACTTCTTCCAGTAGACATCTTCTGGCTCAGATTAAATCGAGCATAGATTTATTTTGATACTTCTTCCAATTAAAGTTTAGCATAGACATCTTCTAGCTCATATTAAATCGAGTGTCAATTTATTCTTATAATTCTTCCAATAGACATCTTCTGGCTCAGATTAAATTAAGCATAGATTTATTCTGATACTTCTTCCAGTTAAAATCTAGCATAAACATCTTCTGGCTTAGATTAAATCAAGCGTAGATTTATTCTGATACTTCTTCCAATTGAAGACAGTCGTAAACATCTCATGGCTCAGATTAAATCGAGCGTAGATTTATTTTGATACTTCTTCCAGTTGAAGACGGTCGTAGACATTTTCTGGCTCAGATTAAATCGAGCATAGATTTATTTTGATAATTCTTCCAGTTTAAGTCGGACGTAGACTTAGTCTAATTTCTATTAACGATTACTTCGGATGGAATCTATAAGCCCATCTCATACGACTCTCCATCACCTCTCCAAATGGAATCTTTAAGCCCATTCCCGGTACAATAAACCGACAATGTTACTTCGTGCAACAACGAGTGCAAATTTCTGGGCATTTGAGTGTTCAATCATCTTCTACCTTCAAGTCATGAATGGCGAGCATGCCAACCTAACTATTCAGGTTTAAGAAGATTGAACAGGGGCAGTTGTTATACCCCAAAATTTTCCCTCTCATTTTTTTCAAAACATTCTCTTAAGGGTTCTAAAAATACTCAAGAATCTCAAGGGTTGACCAGTCAAACCTCCTCCTAAGAAAGGGTTTACAACTAGGGTTTTGAGTTCCTCAAGGAAGTTTAGGTTGCAAAGGTCTAAAATTATTTCCATCATTCTACATAGGTCTTCAACAATGTTCATGTCGAGTTTCATGTCTTGCATCAAAAGTTTTCTCAGTAAATGGCTCAGATTGATTGAAGATCAACTATATTGGGTAAAAATTCAACTCTGGTCAATATACAGTCAAACTTAAAGATTTTTGGTCCCCATCAACATTTTGAAGTGATATTCATAATTTGATCAAGGGTTGATCATGATTACTTAAGGAAATCCCTCAAATCATCAAAGGTCAAAACTTATCAAATTAGGGTTTCCTTAGGAGAAGTCAACTGAACTTTGACCAAGCATAACTTTCACATGCTTCATCAACTTTTCCCCAACCAAAGAAATTTTTGAAGGAAATTCAATTCTCTACAACTTTTTATTTATGCTCAAGCCCAAAAAGTGCTTCATTTGAAACATATGAGCTAATATGTTACATGTCATTTTCAAAAAGTCAACAAAAAGACACTTTTTGTCAAGGCAATTTACATCAACATAAGGTTTCCAAATGCAAAAATGATCAAAAGAGAAATTATAGAGAACATCTTGAGCTTTTCAAAAATTTTAAGATCATCTTAAAAAGATGAAAGTTGAGCAATTTAAGAGTTGCAAAAGTTGGGAAATTTTGAGGAAATGCATGAAATGCAAAATGAGCAAACTTAAAATTTATAACTATTGGGCCTAAGTTATTGAATTCAAATATGTTCATGGCTTGTTGTAATACCCCAAATTTGTCCTACACCTTTTACTATTATCTGGCTTACGCATCTTGCATTTTACTCATATACATAACTCCCATTAGGTCATTTAACAACGCCATTCATTCATTAATCAATAATTTGGCTTGGGATGAGAGATCTTGAAGGATTAGAATTTTACAGTGGTTAAGGCGTTCATGTCCAATAAAGGTCGATTCCTTCTTCAAGCATTAAACAGAGGCATTAAGGTTGTGATCTATGGTTATTGAGATTTCTTTCTCCTTAAGCTACAAAGCTATTATTTCCATATCAACAGCGGGTCGCAGGGTTTTCCTCTTTAGAGCTATGAATCTAGGGTTTATATCCTATTATACTCGAGTTTGTCAACATTTTTACTGGATGTTTGATGGATAGAAAAACATGATAAAAGGAGGGTGTTGTGAATTCATTATGATCAAGGGTATTATTGTTCTCAATTGTTTGATTGCTTGTATTGCAAGTTAGCTTGGACGTGAGAATTGAAATTAAGATTTCTTCAAGACATGGTACTTTATGAGGTCATTGGTTACCAAGTCAAAGGTCTATGGATTGAATTGAGAAATATTGAATCATGACTCAAAGGATAATTTTGTGGGTTCATTATTATACTTGTAGCTTACAAGGCAGACGAATGTCAATTGAATGATTTTGTTACTTGAAGATTAGTTTAGAATTGTTCATCCGAGTTCACCATATTGCGTTCCAAGTTGAAGAGATTTTTAATGGGAACTTTGACGAAGGTCTTTCTTATTCCCTTTTGGGACTTTCATCATATTCATTCAACTGAAGTATAAAAATGGAAACAAAGAATTGGAAATTTAGATTGAGAAAAGTTGAAGAGGAACATTGAGGACTTCAAGCGAAATTAAATGGATGGAATAAGGCAAAGTGATCCAAAGTTAACTATGGTTTTGATTAAAATCAAATTACATTCAAAGGTTGACCCAAGGAGAAAATCACTACCAATCCATGATATATCTAAGTCACCCAATACATTACAAATATCCAACACCATTTACAATATCCAAAAATATACTACAAATATGAGAAACACACTTAAAGATGCACATTTGGCGACCAGTTGACCATTGACTCTTCACTTTGATTCTCATCATCGCTTTCTGTGTGGCCTTATCGTGTTTGAAATGCAACTTTAGTTTGCTTCCATCTTCATTACCTTCTTCATGACCAAACCGGCGTATCATAACTTGCCATGATCTATGCCTGTTGTTTCAATCCAAAACAATTATGAACATTTATACAACAAAAAGAAAACCGTTAACATTTCCAGTAACATCAGTCCAGCCAAAATAGTTCTGTATCAACCAATGTTCGCCTATATACAGTTTATCATAACAGAAAATGGTGATAGAGCTAACATAATTTCACAACAAGCGGAAACTAACATCGCAGCCCTATACTTCAACCCATAACAGAATTGCTAACAACTTCAAACCAAACCTAACAACTCTAATTGTTTTTTTAACTGCTACAAACTTTGTTAATCTCTTCAACAGATATAATAAAAATTCTATTCACAATAGGGGGGGGGGGCATATACGATTATTCACACAGACAATAGGTTTCATCGAGATAAAATCAAGAAAAAAGATTACCGGAGAAAACTCTCAGGAGATATCTACACTTCATTATTTTCACCATCATTCTTCAACCACCTGGGAAGAATCATGAAACTGGGATTCACATTATACATAAAAAAGAAAACTCAGAAGGAGGATCCTGATCACGATATACACAAAAAACTCATCAAAAATCTCAAGAACTCGTTGAGTTTATCTATATTTTCTTCAAGTTTCTTCATCATAAAACAAGAAATTCTCAACATCTTCTCAACATACTTTGAATCATAAGCAATATCTTTATTAATCGATGATCTGCAATATCACAATTTAATCATCAGCAGTGCAATCGAAACAACAACATCAACATGAACAGAAAGTGAGGAAAAAACCAGAAAATAAAATAGAAAGGCATCAGAAAATATCAAAAGCAGGGGAATAAACCGTGAGAAGAGATTAGAAACAAATAACTCATTTCATCCCAAGAACCTACTCAATATATACAAATAACTTCTGAAATAGAAGCTGCAATTTCTCAAATTCATGACTTTGTATTGTTCCTAGACAGAGAAACAATGACAGTTCATGACATATCTTCTGGTGGTGATGGGATAAGCCAAAAGATGGAGGAGTTCTCTGTTACTTACAATAAAGTCAAATGCCATGAAGCAAGTTTGCTGCAGTTTGTTCTTGATCTGTCTCAAGTCTTGGCTAATACAAGTGAATTCAGATTTAATATCCTTGGTTAAAAAAGCTTCCTAACTAACCCAAAACAGAAAACCAGCTAACTAACTATCATAACTTCCATTACTAACTTCCTCATTCCCTAACTGATTCTCAACCTCGTCTCCTATATAATCTGTGACATAACCTTCATTCAGGGGGATGCACCATTTTTAACACATAACCACATCTATTCTCTCAACCATTCATATGATTCATTTTTCACAAAATCACCAGAAAAATTCTCTACTCTCTCTCTCTGCACTCTCTGCTCCGTAACCGATTCTACAGCAGAACCTTTATCATTCAACAACCTTATATGAACCTTCTTCTTCTTCTTCAATATCTCTCTGGATTTCATCTTTGCTGATCTGCAACCTTCAACGACAGAATCTTCATCGACATTAATATTCTGCAATAGTGAATCGCAACATCTTGACTTCATTCATCAGCATCATTTGCATTTCTGCGCGCGAAAATCTCACATAACAATAGTCAACAATAACAGAAAACACAATAATGCAGAAGAAGAAGAAGATCGAGAAGTAGAAGAAGAAGTCACGCAAAGGAGTTGAGGGACTTTCTTACCTGAACATGTAAGAATCTCTGGTTCTCCCACCATCTTCATTGGTTGAAGGTGCACCAAACAAACTCCAGTCGGTAAGAATTTCTCCTTCACGATTTTGCATTCGTTCTATTATCACTTCGTGTGGCCTGGTTGTGTTTCTTCGTGTCGTAGCATCGATTCCACTCTGCATCCATGCTTTTTTTATTATTATTTTATAGATTTGGGGAGGAATTGAGAGAGTGAGATGAAGATTCACGACGGAGTTGTTGAACTAAAAAGAGCGACACAAAGGTCTAATCTAGGCGAAGGAAGATGTGTGTATCACATCGGCGGTGATTCAAAACAGATGGAGACAAAAAAAGAAGCCGAGCGGCACCGCTTGCAGTTTGGAAAGGAGAAGGTATCGTGTTTGAGCGAGGAAGATGAACAATCAGAATTATAAACCCTATCCAAGGAAATGCAATGTTTCTCGTCCATTTGTATATTTTTTATTATTTATTTTATTTATATTCTATTGAAAATTCTAAACAAAATATGGTGATAATTATGCTATGGGATTGGGCCGCTCCATGCTCTCCTCAGGCACATTAACATTTGTTTTTTGCAACCGGGAGATTATTCAATAAAAAACTCAATGCTGGATTCATTTGGTTAGGCCTATTCGCTGTTTTTTTTTATAAACTAAAGCCTAGCTAAACCAGAAAAAGATCCTCCTGGACTTAAGCTGGACGGGCCTTACGCTCAAGTCTCATTTTTAATCACACACCTGGTTTCAGGTTCACACCCCCTGATTCTTACTATCTCTTTGTAGAATTTAGGACTTTCCTTAATTTTTTCTAAACTTTTGTTAGGATAAAATTGTAAAAAACCAATAAAAATGGTAGAATATAATAGAATTTCTCCTAAGAATTAATCCTTTAGTTTTCGATAGAATTTTCTCCTCACATTAAAAACTAATAAAAAATACGTTTTCTTTTAGTTTTTATTCATATTTTCATACTGTCGTGCCTCGTTATTTTTGACGCGTTTGTTCATTGTGCAAGGTACATTTTTGGTGATTTCGATCATGTAACATAAAAAGTAGTTATGTGATCGAAGCATATGGCTTATGCTCGTGCCCAATGCGACATGCCTTATTTCTCATCGTCTTGAGAAATTCATATCATATTATATGTTGTCAAAATGCATGTGATATTTTATGACACTTTGTGCAGGAACTTCTGGTTATGCGCCACATTCGCGACATGCGTTTGCCTTTATCTTAGTTGGATATTGTTTCTGACTTTGTTTGTTTCTTGGTGATGCTTGCTCGACACGTATTCCCTGCTTCTCTAGCGCTTTCGTCTGCTCTTGACGACATGCTCGCTTTGGTAGTCTCCGCTACTACCCTTGTACTTCTTCGCACTTTATTGCATTTCGTTATCGCTTTCTAGATATCATGAGAAGTAGGAAATAAAGAGTGTGCGCTCGAAGTCGCTGTTTAAAGACCTGTAGTAGGCATTCCGCACTTTATTTTCTATATGTGTTGTGCTTGTGTTTGTTTACTTTCTTGTTGATTGATGAGTCACTCAATTTAGAAATTGGGATCACGACTTCGCTCTCAATGCATTCTCCCTATAGGATTTTATCGCTTTCCTTTATTTCTTGTCGATCGATGAGTCACTCAATTTAGAAATTGAGATCACGACTTCGCTCTCATTGCATGTTCCCTATAGGATAGTTTTGTTAGACTTTCTTTGGCATGCTAAATTAGATAGGATCTCTCTAGGTGTGCTCTCTCGATCTTATTGGCTTGCTTGCTTTGTCCTTGTACATACCATGTTCCCTTAGGACGCGCTTGCTCTGTTCGGACGCAAGTTAGACCTTAGGTTGTAAACCATGCATGCTAACAGTAGGTAGAAACTTCCCCTTCATCCTTGACATAGGACTACCATTGTATGATAACATTAGGTTTAGAAATAGGCTAGTCTCCCTTAGACTCTTTTCTTCCCTTTTTGCATCCTCGCATCTAAAACTAAAACTCATTTTCTTAGAAAATCAAAAACATGCTAATCATACTTAAACCCTTTTTCAAGGTAATAAAACACAAACCAATTCAAACCATTTTGTGCGCTCGAGCACCTTTTCTCTAAAACCCTTTTCAGGTAAGGACATGATTAATTTACTTATGTTCCAACGCATAAGTCTCCAAAGGTCGAGCTGCGGCAGAAGGCGGAATTAACTTCGTCCATAAAAAACACAAACAAACAAAAACATCTGAGCCGAACTACAGTAGCTCTGATTCCTCAAAAAGGATACGTAGGCATTGGGGTAGGGCCCAAGAGAGCATAATTTTATTTTCCATACATTCTTTTCCCCTTTATTTTGCATGCATTCTCCCTATAGTAGTATAGTAAACAGTAAGAATAGATTAAACACAACCATAAGATCGATAACAAGAGTGGATATCGTAGAGTACTGCGGGCGTGTGGGGTGCTAATACCTTCCCCTCACGTAACAGACTCCCTTACCCAATCTATCGGTCGCAAGACTGTGACTTCACCCTTCTCAGGTTTTCTCGATGTTTACCTTTCCCTAAATGTGGGATAAAAGACGTTTGATGGCGACTTCATTGTTTGATGATTTTCAGCCGGTTGTTTCACATGTTTATAGACCCCTGAGTACATGTATCATTTTAGTTTTTATTTTTATTTTTATTTTTATTATTTTATTTATTTATTTAAAATCAAAACTAAATTAAATAAATTCAAAATAATTATAAAGTGAATGGGCTTAGGCGTGCAAACTTTGTTTTAGGTCAATTAAGGCCCAAAAGACATTTTATGAACCTTCCAAAACCGCGTGGAGCTCAAAAGGGCAAGATATCTCAAATATGGAAGTCTTTAAAAATGTTTGATCTTTGTCTAGCATGCCTTTGATGGCAGGATTCTTTCCTTATCTGTTGCTCCATCTCACTTCTCTATATAAACACAAGAGGCTAGCATCAAAAAGAACACAAAATAGACTGCCTAAGAGAGATCTCCAAAATTCACAAAATTCAAAAGAATTGAAAAAATTTGTAACCTGACTCCCATCCCTTATCAATCGAAACTAAGGCCAACATTCATCCCCTGGGGATCAAATTAGTTGACCTGAGTCCACAACTGCCTCTCTCAAGCAACAGAACGTGACTTCTTCCACACGCCGTTTGTCAAGTTGGTAAAATTCTAAAACTGTGATTTCTTGTGGTTTTGATCATTGCTAACCAGTTTGATTTGTTCATATGCACCATAGGAATTTATTTACCGTATTACATGTGAGTTTGGATGCAGGAATTAGATCATACCATTGTTAGGGAAGAGTTTCAAAGAAGCTTTGAATCCCTAATCCAGCCACTTTTAGGTCAAACTGACCTCACCATCAGATCTGCAAGGTCCAAATTAGTGGATCTAAATAATTTGATTTTGTTGTTTGAGCCATTTTTGCAAGTTTTCGTTTTATCTTCATCGGAGAAGACAACCAGAAGGTTGACTCCGGCGTTGCATGATAAGTTGACTCCGGTGGCCTGGGCGTGCCACCACCTGATTGGTTAATTCAAAATTCCAGGGTCCCACCTGATTGCGTTCCTTTTCTTATCTGAGATTAGTTTGCATTTTATAATATATTATTTAATTTAATGATAAAAACGTATGAAACAACCGTCCCAACGGTAGAGTGAAGCGCGCAAAGGCATTGGTGTACCAGGGTAGGGGTTCAATCTTTGCCCCTGGTATTTTATTTTCACACATTTGTTGTTTGCAGATTCAGTACAAGGAAAGTTCATGCACGCACCATGCATCTCCAACTCCTGACTATCATATCTCATTCAGTCTAGATCTAACGCCTCAAATGCACAACCCAGGATGCACCCTCCTAACACCACCCTCAATGGATCCAACGCAAACAAACTAGGCTCCCTATTGGGCTTGACAAATTCAGATTCATACCCCCTCAGTTTTTCTTTTCAGCATGCCCATTTTTTTTTTCTTTGTTTTAATTAATTACTTTTCTTTTTTAATCAATTTCAATTTTTATTTAATCAACAAAAATCACAAAAATCATAAAAATTAAGATTTAGGTGTTTTATTTATTAATTTACTTTTTGATAAATAAGATTAATTTAATTTAATCACACCTTGATTTTATTTTATTAATTACATTGTAAATTAACTAGAATTAGGATTAATCACTAAATTTTTTTTTTAAACAAGAACACCAAAAATATTTTCTTAAACGCTTAGAAATTTTTTAGGGTTTTTAACATGTTTCCCTTTTCAATCTCCGTGCGCCTATTTATTTTTTGCATTATTATAAATATTATAACTGTTAATGATTTGTAATAGCTTTAAACTAGGATTTCTTTACCTTTTTCCCCCATTTCTTTTGGTTTGTAACTCCCCATCCCCGAAGCACTATAATAGCATAGACTTTATTTCCTGCATTTTTACTTTCCGCACTTATGTATGAATGTATGTATATATATTACTGCTAGTTTAATAGGATTGTATGGTAGAGGCTAAAAGCAAATGTTAGATAGCCATAAGTCCAAGATTAAAATAACTGAAACATAACACACTTCGCACATGCGCGCCTCTAGGGAAACCATCACTTGTTTCCTCGGATATAAACAATCATGTTTCTCGAATGTGGGATGCTTTAGCAAAGACCCTTTGGTTAAAAATATTTTAGTCCCTCGATGATTATTCGATGCTGCCTCGATAAATGATCTTAGTCCCTTATGACAATTGCTGAAGCATCCTACGAGTTGCCTTCTATGATTGTGTGATGACCCACGCCTATCTCTCAAACATCCAATGATAGGGCTTCTCACTAACTAATGGTAGGATAGCACTATCTAAAGGAAAAGACAAAAAAACAAAGACTTTTTGAGTAGGTAGATAGCTCATAGTCGCTTTCTCACAAATCAAAAAATATTTCTCACACATACACTCTTTTCTAAAATATTTTCAAAGACAAACACTTTTTATGCATTCTCAACGATACGAGAATCATTACAAAGTTTGCCGCACTTAGGAATTTTTCAAAATATTTTTCAAACAACAAACACAACCTTTTTCAAAGTGAGCTAGCAATTAAGAGCCT